ATCATCTGCAGGGATAAACCAGGTCAAACCACGTGCTTGACCGCGAGGAACTAAGGTGACCTTCTGAACAGCATCATGCCCTGGAGTAAGAGTTCTGTGCAGTTCGAAAATCGATCAAAATCTTAATCGTTAATTGTCGAAATGGTAAATTCAGTTGTCAACTGTAGTGATTGATCTCAACGAATTGCTGAGATTTAATATACGAGCAAAAAAACAATTAAGGAATCGACATTTAAGATTATCCTATAACAACCTATATGATGTAGGAACTTACCCACAGATAGCGTGACCTACTTCATGGTACGCCACGAGACTCTTGCTCTTGCCATCGGTCATGACAGTCCCTTCCATCCCAGCAACTATCCTATCAATAGAGTAATCTATTTCTTTAGATGAAATGGCTGTCTTCCCACACCGGCCAGCAAGGATAGCTGCCTCATTCAATAGATTTGCAAGATCTGCTCTGCTAAAACCAAGTGTCCTCATAGCTATTACTTCAAGCGACACATCCGAATCGAACTTTTTATTGCCTGCATGAACCTTCAGGATCTCTGTTCTTCCACGAATATCAGGGACATCCACAGTTACCTGCACAAAGACAAATTTCATTATTTTACAGACAGTATAACATATCTGATTTCAAACAGAAATAAAATTATACTGTCCACATATATATATATATATATACATATATATACCTGCCTATCAAACCTCCCGGGTCTCAAAAGAGCCGAATCAAGAATATCAACTCGGTGAGTAGCCGCAATTACGATAATGCCCGTGTTCCCTTCAAACCCGTCCATTTCTGTCAGGAGCTGGTTTAGCATTTGCTCCCTCTCGTCATTCCCTGCACCAATGCCCGTCCCTCTCTGCCGCCCGACAACATCGATTTTATCAACAAACACAATACAAGGAGCATTCTCTTTAGCCTTCTTGAAAAGGTCACGCACCCTCGAGGCACCAACCCCAACAAACATCTCGACAAATTCCGAACCCGAGATGGAGAAAAAGGGGACCCCGGCCTCACCGGCAATTGCCTTGGACAACAAGGTTTTCCCCGTACCGGGCGGGCCCACGAGAAGAACTCCTTTTGGGATACGAGCCCCAACCTCTCGGGCTTCTTCAAGAACTCAACCACCTCCATGAAATCTTGTTTGGCCTCATCAACACCAGCCACGTCATCGAAAGTGAAGCCAGTGTTCGGCTCCATTTGGAACTTAACCTTCGACTGACCAAAAGCTAGAGCGAAACCAGCCCCTCCGGGCCCTCCCATTCCTCCGGAGGACCTCCTTGAGAGGAGGAAAAGACCCCCGATTAAAAGTAGCGGGAAGGCCAAGTTCCCGATTAGGTTGAACAAAAGATTACCAGAGTCCTCTTATGCGTTGTGGGCTGCAAAGTCGATGTTTTGCTCTCTAAACTTTTAAAGTAGCTCCTGGCTGAGACCCGGGAGCTGTACACGGACTCTGAGCACGGTTTCCTAGCTCGGGGGAGAAAGCCTCAACGATGGAAATTGTACCATTCTCGAACAAATCGACCTTTTTCACTCTATCCTTATCCAGATACTCCAGGAATCTGGAATAAGACATCCTCAAATTTGATACACCTTGGTCATCTGCAATAGCTCACTCACTACCTAGTAGGGATGGCACTGCAAGTCCGGCATTACTGAGAAAGAATTTCAGAAAGTCTCTTCTTCCTACTTTGGTTACTTGATCTAGAGATGCCCTGACATTATCGAGTTCGGATGCATTACTCAGGCGGGAGGATATGATTAACTGTCTTCAGTAAATTTCTTTGCTTAGACAACTTCTTGTATTGCCAGCAGATAAACCATTTCCTACTACACATGTAGATGATGCTTCCATGTTTGAAATAAACAATTCGGTAATGCTAAACTCTATAATCATCAAGAAGAGACAGGTTAACAACATTTGAATAGATGATCAAGAAAAATAGTTTAGTATTAGCTTTATTATGTCAAATTTAGTAGCCACCAATTTCGACATTTGTACAACAAACACTATATAGCTAGGAAGGCCCGAGAGTCATTCGTTAATAAGTACAATATTAATTTTCAAAGTCACAACATAGCAACATCCCAACATCAATGGGTTTAGTCGAAAATACGGATGATCGTTGGATTTGAAGAAACATGTCAAGTGCCTACCGAATACGTTCAATCTAAAGATGGAAAAACAAAATCAGTCTGGTTTAACTAGTAACGAGAAAACGAATCAATC